TTCCTTTCTTTTCTCTTCTCTTTTCCTTTCTTTTCTCTTGTCTCTTTTCATTTCTTCTCCTCTCCTCTCTTTTCCTCTCTCCTTTCCTTTCCTTTTCCTTTCTTTTCTTAATGATCTGCAGTATCTCTACTGCTTTTTTGAAGAACATAGAAATGTGAGTAATTAAAATGAAGCCTCTTTAAATACTATTTCTGATAGTCAGACTCAAAAAACTAAGTTAAAGCAGATATGAAAAAAAAACAACCAATGAGTGATATGGAATGATTTGGGAGTATACTGTCCATGTGATTTTTGCTAACATGGTGCATTTCAGTATGCCATGTAAAATAAAAAAAAAAGCATACTTTGGGTGCTCACAAAATATATATAAGAATTTTCCATAATGAACTTTATCTTCAAAAGAAATTATTTTAATATAAATTAAAATCCATAAATTTAAAAACATATGTAAAAGATGAAAAAAGTGAAAAAAATCCATATCTGGGTAAAACAGAAGTGGAAGGCTTTCTTGTAGGCTATTACAGCTCTTTTGGAACTAAGTTATCTCATAGGAAAACAGTCAAAGGCGATTGGAAGCTTAATGGTTCCCTTTTGAACTAAGTGAAACAAGTTTTTTAAGAAGTTTCAGGGCAAAGACCCTGAAAAAGACATGGTAGAAAAAAATATGAAAAAATATCCATACAAGTGTGACCCCTTTTATTATTTGGAAAGCTGTAGTCATGATTTATGACATGATCTCAAAATAAAATCTCACTGATATGCATGAAAAATCTGTGGATGAAACCTTGCCTACGAATGGAGTCAATGGTATTCAGCCTTCCTCAGTGAGGCTGTAATTTTATTCAGCAAAAACCACTCCCTTGTGGAATGCCTCCGTGGATCTGGTATCGACCTAACCAATTTATGTAATACATTAAGATTTAGAGGACAGTAAGTGGGTGAATAAACTTACTCTGCATTCAGGTCTCTGCTGGGCTTTGAGCCTCACATACTGCAAATCGCACTTGTCATTTGATTCCAACAGGTAGGGACATTGTCAGAGTGGGACCTGTACACTCACCGTGATGAAAGTACCCTCTCTATCTACTAATAAGGTTTGACAGAGCAGGCTAACCTTACTCCTGAAAATACCAGCCCTGGTTGCAGACATGGAATCAATTTTGTCCAACAAATACAGAGCATAAAGAGGGAGTAAGATAAACTCTCACACAAATGTCATTAAAAATGGAAGAATCGGAGACCTAGAATTACACCTAATCTTATACTAATAGAAATGACACGTATGTCAAGAACTTGACCACTGGCACAGGTTACCCAGAGAGAGCTGGTAGATGCCCCATCCCTGGAAACATTCAAGGTCTGGGTGGAGTGGGTTCTGAGCAGCCCGATCTAGTTGAAGATTTCCCTGCTCACTGCAGGGCAGTTGGACTAGATGACCTTAAAAGGTCCCTTCCAACCCAAAGATTCTATGATTCTACGATTCCAACTTAAAATTAGCAGAGTCATTGTTTTTTGTATGTAACTCATCTATTGCATTATCATGCAAAATCACTCATCTCAAGATCATTCAAACTCAATCTTCACAAATACTGGAGACGTAAGTCCAGCAATATATAACTTGGCACCCTACAAATCAATTTTCCAGGTTCATTTTTTACCACATTAAAAACAGCCTTTTCCACTTATATTTAAGGTCTTTATAATCTAGATCTTTTCCCTTCTGTTAATCCCACTTCTGTCCTAACACTGTACCATATTAAAACCAACAAATTCTGCCTTGTCCCTATGTTATGCAGAGGCTGAATCTTAAAACTACAATGTCCACTCCCATGAGACACTCATAATTCATCTTCCATATGTGTTTTGTCATTAATTGCTAAAAACTGAAGGAGGGTTTTGGTGTGCTGTACTGCAATATTAAGAATATTTGGAACAGGAGTCCCAAACTTTGGATACAATAGACCTCAGAGAGTAAACACACAGACTAGCACAAATAGACAATCATAATATTGAGTCCCTCTAAATCATGTGTATTCCTAAAGAGACAGTAAATATTATATTATGGTCCAAGAGATTGAAAAAAACAACTGAAAATCTGAAACAACCTTTTGAGATCCAATCTGCAAAAATCTCAAACTTAATGGTTTTTAAATGGTAAATGGCATTAAATGAAATAATCTTTTTGGAAAATTTATGTTTTAAGGAAAATGCTGCAGTGTAAAACTTAGAGAAAACCAGCTATCCTCCTTCCTTAATTATTTCAGTGTTCAAGAATTCATTAAAAGAATCTGACAGATCTTTTATTATCTTTTAAATCACTATGCAGGATAAACCAAACCATTTTAAAAGCACTTCTTAACAATACTTTAAAAGACCAAAATAAACAAATCCATTTACAGCATATTTTCAAATCCTAAAACATAGGGATTCCATACGAAGTATAAAAGAGAAACATTGGATAAAAGTATATTTAATTGTTGTGCGGAAACACCCTGGTGAAAAATTAACTTACCTAGGGTTTTACATGCAAAAATACCCATGGCACTCTGCAGCCTGTCTGGTCGGACAGCCTGGACCACAAGTACCTTAAAATAAAATATATTCAGGGGAGATGAGTTTATAAAAGTACATTGTGACAATTTAAAAAGCAAGACTTTTCTAACAAGACTGAATTCTTTAAACTTCTCTTTAGAACAGTTATTTTCTCTGAGTATGTAGAGCTATCTGATCATTCCTTTCCAAGATAATCTAACGTAATTGTTCTTTTTTAAGTAGCTTGTCCTATCAACAGAATCAGAAGATAGATCTACATCTAACATCTGTCTGTAAGCTGAAACTTACTCTACAATGTTTTAGAAAAAAGGCATCTGCGTGGGTAGCTAGAACATCAGAAAGCAAACTTAGCTTGGTGATCTAAATTCTATATATGTATTTAGGCAATAACTTCCTAACTGGAATACTAATGTTTCTGATTTCAGTGTAGTTATACAGTAAAATAATCAATTTTGAAAGAATTTCCTTTGTTTAAGCACAGCTTTAGAGTTTTACACCTAACTTCTTTTTCTGAGACATCCTGACTTTCAAACCTCCTAGTTCTGCAGATGCTTTTACTGTTCTTCCAAAGGCTACACAACATGAACAGCTAATCAATTCAGATACAGATTAAATTAGCAGCTTCCCTACCAGCTACCTCTTTTTCAGGTAACTTCCTGCAAATGCTTACTGCAGGCAAATGCAGGAAACACATGCAATTTCAGTAAAAATTGTTTGTTAAAATGACCACCCCTTCTCCTACCCTCTTACTTGCAGACCTGTAAAACACAATTCTGAACCTCACATCACATTTCAGCTTCCAAGTCTGGAATATTTGTTAGTTTTGGAGGAAAATTTAACTTCGTTACATTTTTAAGAACTTATTACTTTTTAAGCTTGAGATTACCCTAAATGCTGCTGCACTATTTTTAACATACAGTTTGAAAGAAACTGACTTATGAGTGGCATATCACTCTAACCAGTTAGTTTCAGTATACCTCATCAACAGAAAAATTCTTAATACTTTCTATGCAAAGAACGAGACATATAATATGCTGATCATTCCAGATTTATTCTCCTATAAATGCACAATTTTTGTGACAGCACATTGCACACATAAGAATTGCTCTTCTGCATTTCATCACATCAAACATGACTCAGACAAATTCCTTTCCGAAATGTTTTGTTCCTAAATTCTATGCATGTTATGTTAGAAATTCTCCTCCACAAAAACTCCAAAAAGAGAGCTCCTAAGAGCCAACCAGCATGAAACTACATTGTCATATATCCCATCCTTTCTTTGGACAGGCCTTCATTTTATATGAAGTGACTTCAAATGAAAAAACACAGCATCATTTGAAAGTAAGTAACAACACCCTTTCTTCCATAAACCGAAGACGGATGACATTTTTCCCTTCCAGAGGAGAAGGATCCACGGGGTGCAGGATGGAACTTGCGTCTCCAACATTCTTAGTGAGTTCCTTCATCAAGCATTCAGGAATAGTATTTCATGAACTGTTCTAAAAAGTAGTGGCTGCTACTGTGTTTTCTGGTTTTCATTCAGATGTGTGAGTTTGTACATTTAGTGATAAACTAAATTAATGATGCTCAACAAGCTGACAAATTCTGCAGATAAACTAAATTAATGATGCTCAACAAGCTGACAAATTCTGCAGTAACAAGCCAACCATAAAATAATTTTAATGCCTATTCACAAAATTAGTTCTGTGAATATTGATAAAGAGCTTGTTAACTTACAGAGTACGCTCAGTTGCAGCCAATATGCCAATACAAAAAAGCATCAGATAAGAGAGAACTAAATATGTATTATAAAAAACCCAAAACCTTAAACTAGTTAAGCTATAAGACAATGTAGGTACTGTCACTGCTTATAATTCAACCAGGCCTGAAGCCTAAACTCCTAAGATGTAAAACTTACTTTTAATGTTGAACTCCTAATTATTAAAAAAAAAAAATATGAAAAGATTACCTGCTGAAATAAAGAAATTCTTTTTACAATAGTAGATGGAAAGTCTTGTTCACACACAGAGCTCTGAGAAAAAGTGTGCCACAGACCTTCATCTTCAAAGCAAAGTGTCTGATAGAGACCTGGGAGGGAAATCTACAAAACAGATAACGCATATTTAACAATAACGTTGGACACTGTGTATATATATACGTAAATACGTATAATAATTAATTTCCAAATACCACTATGGCCCTAAACCTGTAAATACTTGTGCACCGTTTCAGACTTGTGCATAGTTTTGCAGGCAACACCAGGCTGAGTGGGAGTGTTGATCTGCTGGAGGGTCGGAGGGCTTGGTATGAGGTATGAGGTTTAATAAGGCCAAGTGTTACATCCTGCACTTCGGCCACAACAACCCCAGGCAACACTACAGGCTTGGGGAGGAGTGGCTGCAGAGCTGCCTGGTGGAAAAAGAATCTGGGGGTGCTGGTTGACAGCTGGCTGAACAAGCCAGCAGTGTGCCCAGGTGGCCAAGGCGGCCAACCGCGTCCTG